TTTTTTTTTTTTTTTTTTTAAAGAGAGAAAGAGAGAGAGAATTTTTTAATATTTATTTTTCAGTTTTTCGGCAGACACATCTTTGTTGGTATGTGGTGCTGAGAATCGAACCCGGGACGCACGCATGCCAGGCGAGCGAGATACCGCTTGAGCCACATCCCCAGCCCCCACTGTTTCTTAAGTAGATTTAAATTCTGGCTTTCATTTAACTGAAAGACCTTCTTCTTCTTCTTCTTCTTCTTCCTCCTCCCTCCTCCCTCCTCCTTTCTTCCTTCTTCTTCTTCCTCTCTTAAGACTTTTATCTTTATTAGAAACAAAAGTTGACTTTCCAGGACATGAATTTTAAGTTGCATTTAAAAATCTACTTTAAGGACATGAAGTCTAGTCTTTTATTCCAGCTCTCAAATATACTATTTGATTATAAGATACTCATTTTATTCTATTACTTTAGCTTATTTCAACTCCTTGACCTGAAGATGGATTTCAAAGCAAGTGCATGACACCAGTGGTTTGTCCTATTGATATTTTCTATTTTGATTTTATGGATTGGATGATATTAAGGCCACTTTGGCAATGAATGACTAGAGAGCATCATGACTCTTCTTACAACCCACACCAATTGCCATGGAACTGAGGCCCTTCTAGATCATGTTTTTCCATATTATATTTATTATTAAGTAAAATAAGCACATTAATAATTATCTTTATAGTTATTATAAAACCAGAGACATGTCATATTGGATAATTTGATTCTTCATTTACTTAACTTTTTAGTTTTTGTTTCAAAATCTATAAAATAAGAAATTGGAATAGATTATCTCGGAGATCTATTCCCCATTAGTGCTATATAGACAATTCTAAAGCATTTAGAGGCAGTCCTGTATTGCTACTATACTTCATTTTTCTAATGTCATCAGTTTTACACAGTATATAATCATTTGACTATGAATAGCATTTTTTTTGTCCCAATCTTTTTGTAAAAATTTTGAGAGTTTTGAGAAATTTTTGTAGTTACCACATTCTACCACATGGTAGAATTGATTACAATTATAATGCTTTGGAGTGTCCTATCAGTCTGACTTTTTAAGGGAACATGTATTTGCTAGCATCTTCTAATCATTTGAACTTGACTTTTATCACCTTTTATTTCATACTTTTACAAGGTGCTAAAGGAGTTTTTTTTTCTGAGTTTCTATTTCATTTCTTTAAAAAGGGATATTAATACTGTCTACCTCAGAGTTTTTTGTGATGACTGAGATAGTAAATATGTAGCCTTTTAAATATAATGCCTGGCATCTGATAAGTATACAGTAAATATTTGCTACTCTGTTATGTTTTAGAGATTAACCTAAACCTC